TTTTTATCGACTTGAGGTACCCTTTACAATACTTCCATACTTGTATAGGAAAGCCATGCCCATAAGAAGGCTGATTAGCTATAAGGCTCCCACATCACCCGCAGTAAAACTCCATGTGGCTTGAGCGCCGCACTGTTTCATCTCGGCTGTGGGAGGCAGCACACGCACGTAGACCCTCCCGAACCCTGAATGAGCCAAGAGCGCGCGGCATTAGTAGTTCAACTTCAGGGGGCCCTCAGGATCCTACGACAACAGAGGAAGACCCTACTGGCTGCAAAGACGGGAAAGCAATTGCCCAGACTTCAGCCATCTGCAGCACAGCACTAAGAGGAGGATGACGGCTTTTGCTTGCAGCGCCCGAGTCGCTCCTGCACAGCATTAGCCAAATCTGAACCGAAGCATTCATCGCCGGGGTCTGCCACACAAATCCATACACAGTCGTGCCGAAGCACGTGCAAGAGTGATGCTGGCTATCTTGGCCCCACAACAAAAGGGAATCCGACAGCTTCTACATTCTGTCAACACGCATGGACACCCCACTTTGGAGCTGTCCCTGTTAGGCTTCCTCCAGGGGGAGCAGTATGCCGTTGATCTCATCGAAAGTAAGGATGCCACTCTGGTCCCTCGGAGACCCAGGGCTAACGCACAGAATTAAGACTTGGGGCCTAAACTAGTGGAATATGGGCGGTCATATAATGATTCTGGGCGAATAATGTTGGCCATTATTCATGCGTCTACACTAGCATCAATGCAGCGAGGAACCCAGATCCTCAGATTGACGCAGCGGGCCTGCATATTCAGCTAAGCTTCTTGTCAAGGGCATCAAAGAGGGTATTGATGTCGTCGAGCGCTTCCACTTTCACCAACCCCTGTCTCACCAACATGTACCTGAGCTGACTGCTTGATAAAATTGCACAGGAATGTGATGCTGTCAGGACCACACCCAACCACTCCCGCTTGCTGTGTCCGCTTCATAGGGTGGCCCCTACTGAGCCCTACTATGTCGGATGCCAGACGACCAGGACTTTTGTCATGTCCACAACGGTCCGTATGAACATTTGGTTGCGGCATGGAAAGGAGCGCTGTGGGACATGCACTTGGAAAAGGATAATAACCTACCATTACTAAAGGGGGTGACAATACCAACTCCGTAAGATATCCTTTTGTCGGCAGGTGCCCTTATGGCACGTCAGCATGCTGTCGAGCTGATGATGAATTCCTGCGGCGCTCAAATAGGGACGTAATGTTGCAGGCGCCTAAACGGATCTTTCGGCGACTCTGCAATGGACATCTTGTTTTTGGACTGGACAACTGTGCAAGGAAACATACCATTTGGGTATGTCCCAGCCCTTCACGTGAGTCGGACGACATCCGCGGCAGACATAGCTGACCAGGCAACCCTGAGATTTCAGCAACCTAGCCCCCTTTCACAGTGAAGCCGGATATTCTGGTGCTTCAGGCTTTCAGCTGCAAAACACTTTAGCGTTTCGGACCCGGGCCTCGGCTCAGTTAGTGTGCGAGAACAAACCGCAACTGAGGTCTAGATGCAGAGCAGTAATTACTGTCAAGAATCGGACCACTCCGCAGTGGAAAGCCCAGCCATGTATGCAAGTAGAAATTCCTGACCCTCCAGACTTTAGGCAATGAAAAGTCTGTGCAGATATTTCGGGATCTGAAACCTTCCACGAGCTATCTAAATGATGGGCGGGCTGTGTACATGCACAGGGGCCGGGCCGTTGAACAAAGCACAAGTAGCAAAATGCCTGCTGTCTACTGGGTCCCATGCTGAGCAGGCAAGCAACCACAGCGATCGCCAAGGAGCTGCCCTGTACATCCCCTTGTGGGCGGACTGCTAAAGCGTAGCTGTTCTCTAAATCCTTTTCGTGAATGACGTGCCTTCTTGAACCTATATCCTCACGGAGGTACAAGAACAGCCTCAGAAGATGCTGGTGCAACGATTGCTGGACGAATTAGACCTGGAGCTTGGGTGCATTCTTAAAACGCGCGAGAGGGGTTCGCAGAATGGGGTGCACCCCAGGAACACTTGGGGAATAAGGGCAGCGTACGCAAATTAAGCCGCTCCCGTGAAGGATTCCGTAGAGATTATGTTGAGAAACTCTCGCGGATGCTCTGCAGCTGGTGGCAGAGCCACATTGGGGCCAAAGCAAGAACATGAGCAAATAGATCAATCGGGGTATCTCACGTAAAGCCTCTTATACCCAAGGTAGGGATATCCCACCCAAAAAAACATGTGCTTATGTTCTTGTCTCGGTTCCATCCTAATCACAAGGAAGTGATCACCTTACCTTCCCTGGCGCGGCTCTGCCGGGCTTCATGCACTCGTTGCTGAAATTGACCCCGGACCTTAGAAACGCGGTTGAGGGAGGCTTTAGGGTAGTCTTCTCCCACGGCACAACTTGGACCCCCAAAACCCTAAACCCTATACATCCACATACACCCCTATAGGAGCCCTAGAAACCCCTCGAAAGAGGATACCAAACGAAAGCCAGCCTCTGGCAGTGCAGTGCGTGAAACTTATTTCACAGCACGTTGAAACTCAAAGGATTAGCTCCAACTGATTGCGAAACCCGACCTGCAACCCCAAGTAGCTGCAGTTTGGTGGTAATTCCTCGTCAATTCATAGGTGTGTCCCAGGAAGCTCTTCGCTGAATTCCCCCTCGAGGAATCACAGTTGCTTTTACCCTGGCATGGGTTCATGGTCTTCCGGGTGTAAGGGTTTGGGGCTTTGGCTTTGAAAGTGCGGACGTTTCAGATCTTTAAGGTCTGGGTAGGTTGGGGTCCAGCATGACCAGCCACCACATTGCCAATCCACTGCACCATAATCTCCACGACGTGTGTGTTCACCTTCTCGAAGCCAACACTGTCCTTCGCAGCTCTCTGCAAAAGGTTGTTCAAAGCAGGGACCTAACTGGGTCCAAGGATGTTAGCTGATGGGGGTCCCTACTGAGGATTCCGTAGGGCTGATTTTGCAAAATCCCCACTGCGAGCTGCACCCCACCAGCAATTGTAGCTGTACTTCTGCGGGGTGCCAAAAGATCACGCTCACAGCAAGGACGTGCAACTGCCAGTACTCGGAGCCCTGCTCAGCAACACCAGCCTACCCACACCCTAGTATAAACCCAATATAACCCCAATATAACCCTAATATAACCCAGATATAATAACCCTAATATAACCCTAACATGACCCCAATATAGCCCTAATATAACCCTAACATAACCCTAATATAACCCCAGTATTACCCCAATATTACCCTAATATAACTCTAATATAACCCTAATATAACCCCAATATAACCTTAATATAGCCCTAACATAACCATAATAAAACCTTAATATATCCCTAATATAACCCTAGTATAACCCTAATATAACCCCAATATAACCCCAGTATCACCCCAGTATAACCCTAATATAACCCCAGTTTAACCCCAGTATTACCCCAATATTACCCTAATATAACCCCAGTACTATCCCAATGTTACCCTAATATAACCCCAATATAACCCTAATATAACCCTAATATGACCCTAATATGACCCTAACATGAAAAATCTGTAGGCCCAATTTGTCAGCTGTGCTGTGGCTGCATCTGCGTGCTTTAACCACAAAGGCAAACCTGCTCAACGTGAGGACCCTAAACCCTAAACCCTAAACCCCCATTTGAACTACTGCATAAGCCTTACATAGTCAGTCCCATCTTCCAGCTCACTGTTTAGGGTTTAGGGTTTAGGGTTGAGGGCTTAGGGTTAAGGGTTAAGGGTTTAGAGTTTAGGGTTTGATTCTTCATGATTCTGTCCTTAAACCCTCTACCCTTGATATCGCTGCATGGCAGTTTTTGTATATGAGCGTTATAACTTCTAACCCTTACTAAAGGAATCCCAGTGAAGAACAAATGCGCGGAAACCCATACACGTGTTTTTTCAAGCTTGAAGATAGGGTTGTCCAAAATCACGCACATACCTGGCTACCTTGGACGCTCGGGTTTGGAAGAACCAAGTTGATACCCTGACAAACCAATTACAACATGACACACAAGAAGGACAAAACAAGCTCCAACGAACCACGAAAACAAAACCATGTGTGAGCCCATGTAAACGCCAGAGAAACTGGATAAAGCAAAACAATGCACTGATACACCCCCGTGGAAGTCAATAAAGCTCAATGAGTGAGGGGCACCTAACTTCTAAACCCTCAGCTCTTAACCTTGAAGTCAAGACGCTCACCCCTAAACCCCCGCAACCCTCAACCCTGACCCCTTAATCCTTAGCAATAAGCCCTCAACACTCCTGGATCACAGACTTGACCTTCAGCTCATCTTCAACCTTCCACGCTCGTGCCTTTCATGGGGCTACGATGTGCTCACCCCCGCCCACTTTATGACTGCCACGGATGAAGGCCGTAGGGGTTCTTGGGGACGCGAGGAATTCTTTCAGGCTTGTTTATGGGGCCTTCTTGGTGTCGGGGCTGCGCTCTGGGAGAGCATAGTAGCACAACGAGCCTTGGCAACGTCTACGGAGCTCACAGATTCGATGATCTCGCCTTGGCTGTACTTCAACAGGCTTCAGAGCTTAGGGCTTTCCAACCCTTGTTCGGGGCTTGGGGGGTGTTCAGGGTGATGGTGGTATAGGGTCCTGTGGTGTTGGAACTTTATAAACACACTTTCAGCTTTCCTCTGCAGCAATGTAACCTGAATACAGCCCTAATATAACCCTAATATAACCCCGGGATTTTCCCAATTTCACCCCAATATAACCCCAATATCACCTCAATATAACCCCAATATATTTCCAATGCAGGAGATTCAGAACTCCCAGGTTGCCAACCGAGTCGCTGATGCCGTCGGCACCGCGCTCGATCTGCTCTTGCAGGGATATGGCGGCTGCTTCGGGCATGAGGAAAATTACTGGGACATCCACAGAGGATGCCACAAACTGTTCCTAGGCTCCGCACTAACCTGGGGATTTAAAAATCTAGGGTTTAAGGTTTAGGGTTTAGGGTTCTAGGTTTATGAGGCACCTTGCATTCAAAAAAAAAAAGGAGCCTGCTGGGGAACCCAGGCGCGTATATAGTCCACACCCGGGACAGGTAGGTCGGCTGTTGCCATGAGTCCAGGATGGCGACCTAGGACAAAAATCACACCAAGTGCCGTCATGTTGCGGTGATATTGGGGTGATATTCGGGTTATATTAGGGTTATATTGGGGTTATATTGGGGTTGTATTGGGGTTATATTAGGGCTATATTCAGGTTACATACTTGGCAGGGTCAGAGATTGTATAGAAGCTGCGTGATCCGCTTTCTCGGAATTGGGTCCTGAATTTCTCACCAAAAGAAAACAACGGCTGCTCGACACGTGCCCGGCAACCATCTGTCCAGCTCGGATCAGGTTCTCCCGAAAGACATGCTCCAGGTCTTCGCTGCCAGTAATGCTGCCCTCCAACATTATGCGAAATTGATTATTAACGAAGAAGCACATGAAGAAGGACACGTGCTTCGGCACCACCGGCAAAAGAGACGTTGCCTTCTACGCAAGGCACATCGAGCAAGTGATTGCAAGCGACATGCGCGCCCAGGCCAACAAGTATGTGGCAAGTCTATCAAATCAAGAGGGACAAGAACCTGGTCTTGAAACTGAAGGTAAGGCTTACAAGCTTCTACGCGTGTCAATTGGGGGCCACAATATGGACTCAAGTTACGACAATCCTTCCTATAGGTGCCCCCAAAATTGAAAGGGACCCGCAAGCGTTGGCTACCCTAAACCCTGTAAACCACTACGGCACCCCCACTGTCCGTCTAGTTTTGCATTGTCTTATGCATTGGATTAAAAATTGTTGACCCCAAAACCTAAACCTTAAACCCTGAACCCCACATGATCACAACGTGACCCCTATACATCCCGTGACAGGAAACGCCATGTGCTGCTCCCAGGGTTCGGGTCGGGTTAGCAAGCAAACAAAGATCACCCTATGAGCCATCTGTCTATGACCCTCCACGTACATGCATCGGAAAAGATAACCCCTCAGCAGCAGGCCTTCTGATAATGGAAAAGAAAAAAGAAAATTTCGGGTTTAGGGTCAGGGGACTTTGTATACGGCTTCAGCTTCAACCCTTTTGCATTGGGGCTTGCACACAGCCAGACTGCTGCGGCCCGGCATTCACCCTGAACCAAACATCTTACACAATCTGGATTGCTGTTAGGGAACTTAAATTACTATATTGGGGAGTAACACTTGTATTCACTATATGTATGAATATATATATATACATATGTATATGCATAATGGTAACGTGATTTAAATTCCTTCACAGCAACCCAACAATAGGATGTGGAGTGTGACCTGGGCACCCCAAGAGATTCCCCCTTACGAAGTGTGTGGGGATCATTTTGGTGACATTCCATATGTATATATATATATAGACATACAACCCTGTATAATCCCTATATAACCCCTATATACACCCAATACATACATATGTACATATATATATATATATGCTCAGAATTTGCTTCGCCGGCTTCATGCATGCCCACAACATTGCGTATGATGGCCTGATACATCTCCAGGGCACTCCGCACTTCAGAAAGGCTGTAGCCTTTGCTGGGTTGCTGTTAAGGAACTTAATCTAAGGGCTTAGGGTTTATTCTCCCCCTATAGTGGAGAATCAAATGGAAAAGAAAAGGGTAATATAAGGGCTTAAGGAACTTAATTTAGGTTACTAATTGTTACTATATTGAGGAAGCCATATTGCTGTAATTACTATATTTTCCCATTATGGTAACTTTATTTCAGTTCCGTAACAGCAAACCAGTTTGCCGTGGGATATGGTGCAGGGCTTAGCATAGGGGTTCAGACGTCAAAGCACAGGACGAAGAACTTGGGTTCGGGGCTCGGGCGGTCAGGGACACGTGATTCTACAAGAGCGTGGAAACTGCTTGGCTGCATGTTGCGCAAACCCAGGAACCTGCATCTCTAAGGGATTTGGAACCCCAGTAGAAAGTAAGATTTCAGCTAAATATTAGGATTCTAGGTAATAGAAATTAAAAAGTATTTTCAGGAACCTTGAAGGGGGGTTGCTCTATAGCAGCAGCTGAGTAGCTCCAGGTCCATGACATGAAGTGGGTCTGCTCCTGGAACCAAGCTGGGGGCAGGGCTTCAACAATCATGCAAGGATTTCTTTGATTGGTATTTTGGGTGTCTATTTTGGGGCGTCCTGTTTTTGGAATTTTGGAAAGCCCCTTATGACAACCAGTTCCTTGGCATCCTCGGGCGAAATCCAATCGACCAGCGCACAGCCAGGGCGCCCGTCACGGGGGCACAGGATTTCCTGGCCAAGTGGGCTGTCACCTGCATGGCCGTGGGATCTTTGCGGTTTGGGGTTTAGGGTTTAGGGTTTAGGGCTTAGGGCTTAGGGTTCAGGATAAGTCTGGGCCAGGGATAGATGAGGATCTTTAAGCCCAATGGTTTGGACAACAACACCTAGCCAGAAAGCATCTTTCATGCAGTTGAAGGTAGGATCCTGCACCCCAGTGCGTTCCCGGGCGAGCTGAGCGAAGTCATCCGAAAGCAGGTAGCGCATGCTTACCTTAGTGTATTTGCAGGGAATGGAGGGAAGGATCCCTCTAGTATTAGAGTAGCTCTTAGATTCTAGATACCCCCACTAACGTCCAACAATTCAAAATTTCCATGTCCTTCTCAATGCCCGTTGGATCCCGATCGTATAG